GGGGGGCCGTGTCTCGGTTCCCTCGCGGCCCAGTCGCCCCGAGGGCCGTGGGAAGGCCTCCGTGTGCCCTCCTTTCCTGTAGGGAGGCCGGGGCTGTTGTAGTAGAGGTTCGGGAGAGGCGTTTCCGTCTTCCTCACCGATAAGAGGGGTTTTAACCGGATTTGGGGTCCCCTTTGGGTCTGGCTTATTGGGGTGCACGTCCTCTTAAGCCTGTGGCCTGGGCTTCTTCCGGTTTGGTGTGCTGCTGCTGCTGGGCTGACTTAAAAATGAGATGTAGTTCAAGTAGCATCTTTTGGCTGTCAATAGAATAGAAATACGATCGTTTGATAGCATAATGCGAAAAGTCTGAAATACCTATTTGTTTTTGCAGTTATGGAGCAAAAATTCGTGCCCCACATGCCCTGGTGATGACTTTCCTGTTCAAGAGTGGAAGGTACGAACCCCAGTTCTGTATTTCTGCGTTACTGCTTAGAATGCTTTCATTCAAGCACGTGTTTCTAGAGCGTGCAGAGATACGTGAGCCATGGTCATAGCCCGTTGTTCTGATAGCTACACAGAACAACTCGTATGCACACACATATGCAAATATACATGCTCATGGGGATCAACCACTTGTGCAATGGTTGATGAGAACCAGTGGGCAGAGGAGAAATCAGCAGATGCAAACAGCAGCACTCTGCTCTCCATTCAAACAGGGAAGGCAAGCTATAGCAGTGCACATTGTGGCTTTCCCTGCTTATGCCGGAGGTTTGCACTTAGGCAAAGAATAAAAAATAATGGGGGAAAAAAAAAAAGTCTCCTTGACTAGTCATAGAATTAGACAAAAACACAGTCCTCAGTCTAAGTAGAGCTGTTGAATGTATTCTGATGAGTGAGCCAGAGGTGAGGGGATTTGTCCTCCCTCACAAAGTAGATGTTCTGTGCAGTGCCCGAGCTGTCAGTCTAGACGGGCAGGCCAGAGGAGCGTAGTGTCCAGGCTGAGTGACTGCAGAGGTACTGCCTTTTTGCTCTTCTAATTGTCTGTTTCTTTTCTTCAGTTTAAGAGAGAAATTGAAATCGATTGCTCAGGCTACGTACACTCATTCCCGGAACTTGGCGTATTTTGTGTTCACCTACAAGGGGCTGATGGCGTTGCAGTCCCGACTACAGGGGAAAAAAATTCCATTTCATTCTTTCTTTGCAGCCTGCATTGGAGGTTGGCTAGTGTTTGGTGAGAACAATCCCATCAACAGCCAGGTAAATGCGTTTGTTGAAAGTTTCCCTGACAAAAAACCCAACAGATGGATGATCATGTGCCAGGAAGTGGTTGGTGTAGTCTGGCATGTTTCTGGTGGTTCTTAGTGTGTAGCGTTGCTCTTTTATCGTATTTCTCTTTGCACAAGTTCTGGTTTTGGCTGCGCTGCACTCGAATCCTAGAGGTGGTTGTGGGCCTCCATGAATGGTGTGTGCAGTTTGAGAGCCAAAAGACCAGGTTTACCTCCAGAGCTGCACTTGTGTACCTAGGAAGGCAGGCAGGCAGTCACACAATCGAAAACCGTTGGGTTACCCCACCTGTCATCTGAGCTGTGGTAACTGACTGCGTGCGCTCCTGGTCTGCCCGCTTGCAGGGCTAAACGTTGTAGCTTGAACGTTGTGAGTGTAGAGCACAATCAGTTATGAGCTACACGTAACTAAACTGGTTAAACTGACAAAAGCTGCTCAGGGGAAGTTTGGCTGTTACCACGCAGTCACAGATTAATCAGTCAGTAAAACACACAGAGGCAGATTAATCAGAAGTGTTTAACTTATGCAGTCCCCTGCAAGTCTGGTTTTGGGATGTGTCCAGTCTACCAAGTTTGTATCTGCTTGGCAGGTTAGCAGGGCTGCTCCGTGACTTCTATCAGCAGCAGCATCTGAGATAGCATTAACTGAGCAAAGGTAAAAGTTGTGCAACTGCAAAGACATGTTGCATCAAGTGTAACTTGTTGATTACTAATTTAGAGCACCAGCAGAGAAGTAGGGAAGATGCAAACATCTCCAGTTATAAAGACTGCCTGTTTGCTGTTAAGTTGGGTAAATTGTTTCCACCCATCTTGCCTGGCTTATCGCTTCTAAATCACTTAACCTGGCTAGTATATCTGATCAGGTTATTTACCTAATGTTCTTTGGGTTTTCTCTTCATGCAGATCATTATGTACCTGCTGTCTCGTATCCTGTTCGGCTTGTCTCGGCTGGCAGTGGAAAAGGGCTATGTCCCACAGCCAAAGCAGGATCCCTTTCCACTTGTCGCTGCTCTGATATGGGGGACAGTTCTCTGGCTCTTTGAATACCACCGGCAAACTCTGCAGCCTTCTCTACAGTCCTCCATGACCTACCTGTATGATGATAGTAATGTATGGCATGACATTTCTGACTTTCTCATTTATAACAAAAGGACAGACAGCAAGTAGGTGGTTCATTGTAAAACACCTTTGAATGGGATGGTACCTTCCAGCAGCTAAGGGAAAAGGTTATTCTGTTGCTCTTGACTGGTGATTTTTTTAAATTAACATCTATCAAGCACAGTTGCTGGCCAAAATGTTCTGATTAGTCTTCTCTTGGCTCTGTTTAGAGCAAGTAAATACCCCACAGAAACTTGTTGCATTCCTCGGTGAGAGTAAAATGCCTTGGGAATCTTGAGTTAAAATAAGTCTTTTTTAGAAGAGGCCTTATTTTCCCTACGTGTATTTTTATTTTTTAAAGAAACTAAATGTACTTATGAAATGACAGTGACAGTAAGTGGGGAGTATGTCTAATCATGAAAAAAATGTTCTAGGGATTGTCTGAACTCTCGCAAGACAGAAGCATTTTTCTGTGCTGCTGTGCTCACCATAGTGTGATGGGAGTGGGGGACCTGCTCAGGCCTGAAAGCAGGGCTGCAATTTCTTGATTTCTGTGGATGACTGGAAATCTTGTTTAAACTATCACAAGGACAGTTGTGTGCTCCTTAAGAGAGTTTCTCTGCAGATTTCCCTCAGGGAGACAATAAGGTGTTTGAGAATGAAATTGTTAAGATTATCTGGTATAAGCCTGATAAATCAGGCTCAGAAGGGCTATTTTTGCTCGCTTTCTTTCATGCACGTGGGCTGAATCTGTCCCTCTGCAGAGTGCACTAATTAACACCCTGTAATTATTTTAAACTTATTTGTAAAGTTTTTAAAAGCTGCTTGAACTAAATACCAAAAACAGTTACGCAACTTAGACTCCTTTGAAAACAGGCTGAGGCGCCTTACACGCCCTCAGATATCACACTGGGTGCTTTATACGTAGAAGCAAGCAACACTTTTATTTTGGTGGAAGATAAGCACGTGGGTTTCTCTTAGGTCCAGAATCTATCCTCCACAGCAGTGGCATATGTTAGCTGTAATCAAACTTGAATGTACCTGTAGTTTGTGCAGGCTTGTTGCTGAGCCAGGTTGAGGCCACAGATGAGTATTTGAGTGAATCTTCCTCTTAAAAATACACTACTGAGCCCCAGGAATAGCGCAGCACACACTGGGCTTTAACAGAAGATTGACTAGATAGCTGAGAAAGGAAAAAGAAATTGCTTTAAAATTAATAAAATCAAACTGTTAATAGTACAAAGCACTTACACTGCCGTATAACACTATGCCATTCACTTAATGATGTACATTAAAATAATTCCTGACAACTGGTTTTATGTGGTCATATCACAAGAGAGTCATTAAGTGCCCTGTGCTAACTGTCCCCTTTCATCTCAATCAGGACTATTTTATTTGCTCCTTATATACCTCTCGTTTAAAAAAGGTTAGTTCTCCCTGTACCCATCCGCTTTTCCATCCTGACCTGACCTTGTCATTTGATAATCCCGCTGATCCTGTTCTTCATCGTCTTTTGCAGTCTCTTTACACTCCAGGCTCTAGCAATTTGTCATATTTAATGGTATGAGCGAAACAGTACATTTAAGTTCAGGTAGCTTCTGAGTAGAAAAAAATTCTCGGTTTCTTCTTAAGTCATTTTTCATTGTCCTCCTAACTCTTTTATTGCTATTATGCATCTTCTGAGTGCTGCTTTGCTCTTTATTTTTCCACTCTCTGTGTCAGCAAGAGGGAGAGTTAGATGTTCCCCTCCCCATAGTCTGTCTGGTGCTGTGATGTTTGGCATTAAATCACGTCCCGAGCGTATCAGGTCGAGTAGGAATAGAGTCTTCTGGCTCTTGAACTGAATCTAACGCTGAATCTAACTATATTCACCTTGAGATCTTACGGCATAGAGGCAGAAGCTTCTTCGTGCTCATACCATGCAAATCCATGACGTACTCATCTTTGGTGCCCAAAAGACAAGATACTGCTTTGCCATAATAACTGTCCATGGTACCTTCAACTTTTAACGTCACCTGCTATTATGGTCTGTACTGTATACTTGAATTTGAACACCAATCAGTATTTAATCAGATAGACCCCAGGAAAGCTATAGAAGTTAGGAATTGGTTTTGTTTCTTTCTAGTTAAATACTTTATTTAGTGTAGATAAGCTTAAAAATTTAATTACAGAAAAAATACTGAAGCTACAGGTGAGGTCTGATTTCTTTATAAACATTGTGTCTTTATTTGCACCACTGCTGGATATCTGAAGCCGCGTGAGTGCAGCACTCTATTTTTGTGTCAGAAGCCTCAATATTGTTGCAAGTAAGAATGTTCATTTCCTGCTAATATTGCTGAATTCCTACAAGCTTTGATGGGATTTCAGAAAACCCTTCCCAAATCTTACAGCCATGGCTTGAGAATTTCTCCCTAGAACTGCTAGACTTGCAAATCCTTGACCGTGTATAATTGTTGTAGCAAAACACAGTGCAGGTTGGTTATGAGAGCCGTGCGTCTATAAGAAGTTTTTAACCTTTTTAAGTTATGGCTGGCATTCCTTTCTCTGAGAAAGGCTTGTGATTCCCTTAAGGCAAAATCATTTTCTTCTGCTAGTAGTTCTGCCGCTGCAACCATATGGCTGCTTGTGAAGAACTTCTCTGGCCGTGTGAAGGACAAGTGACTTGTCCTGTCCTTTTTACGCTACTGTAGTATCTCTGTCCTCTCTAGATGGCAAAAACAAGCCAATAGCAAGTTTCTAGTATCAACCTGGCAGCAGTGGCCATCAGTCGTCCTTGGTTCAAAACGCCCTTTCTCTCTTGGGCATCTATCACCAACCTCACTTTCAAAGCAAATTGTGCCTGAGCCTCAAACCATCTGTACTTCTGATCCAGGAACCAGCTGCTGTCCCTGGAAGACAAACTGCAGCTCATCCCAGGAGCGGGTCCCACATAGCAGCAGCCATTAGGCGGGCGTTTGCGGACGGTTGGTTTTCCTGCTGCGCTGGGGCAGGACGTTAAGCTGCAAGTCACTTCTTTCCCCAGGGAAGTAATTGGAAGAGTTCTTTAACGGCACTAGTCCGTATTGCTGTTTCTGCGACCAGATAGCTGGGGATGAACCCCTTATGCTACCGAGGTGTTGGAACAATGCGGGCGTGTAGTAAGGAAGTGAACTAGAAGTAATTTGTCTGAGTCAGACTTTTCGGATACATAAGTTACGCTCCCTGCCCTCCCCCAGTGCATTGTGTGGGGAATTGAGTCCCCTGTTTGTATTCCTTTTTTATTAGCATTAAAACCAAAAGAAATAAAGAGACAGTTGGGAAGCCACCTGCGAATCGGCCAAATGTTTAAGAATCACAAAGAAGTGCCATTTTCTCCCCCCAGCCCTGATCGGTTTTGAATTTTAAGATGAAAATGGTTTTGTTTGTCTACATGAACTTTATTTTATTTTGTTATTTCTTCCTTGGCACCTGACTGTGGGGTGCTGAGTGCCTCTAAAGAGCAGCAGAGCATCTCAATGCTTAGCTCAGTTTGTCAAAAATTAGGATTTCTGGATAAAATTTAAGTGTTCATTTTAAAATTATGCTTCTCCTTCAGATTTTAAGCCTCTTTTAGAGGCAGTTTTAAAGGTTAATGAATCAAACTGATCAAAAGTTTTCAGCAAGCCTTGAATAGCAGACCGACTATACTGAGCTATTAATCATTTATTTTATGAAGGAACAAAGCAGGCTCAGGGTTATTTACTGCCGCTGCATGCTGCCCTAGCATACCCACTGTGCTTCACTTCTCTTTGGAGGACAGCTTGTGTGCTAGTGCTGGCTGTCAGGATTGCTAAAGAACCATTTCCGGGACAATTACATTATTTAACAAAGGTGAAAATTAAATGGGTGCATGACATTTGGTTTAGGTGAGGTTTTCTGTACTGTGTTTGATCCTTTCAGTTAAGGGGAGGATATTTCTGAAGGAAAAACTTGTGCTTGTCTAATTAGTGCCACAGAGAAGCGCTTACGGAGGTTGTGGCTGCTGTAAGGTGTGAACCTGTGTTCGCAGCGTGTCGGCGTGCTTTGTCCCGCTCACCGTCACTGTGTCTGGGCAATAACCACCCCTGCTCCAGACAGCTGGGTCAGGAGGGAGAGGCTGCAGAAGAGCTTTGATATTAGTGCTGTGAGACTTTCTTGCTCTGGTAGAGTAGTTCAAGCTCTGCTTTAAACCGAGCTGGATGGGGGGTAGAAGTGCAGGGATGATCTCTGACTTTTGAAATAGACCAAAACCAGGTGTCCGTGGGGACCCTCTGTGACCGCAGTGGGTCCCCTGTGCATGCTAAGCTCTGCAGCCAGCTGGGAGGCATCATGGATGGCTGGTGCTAGTGGAGTAACCAGAACCCCGTGCAGATACCCTCACACGGGAGAAACTGCTGTGACTCAAACTCATTTTCGCTGCATCAGCACAAATACGACCTTTGGATAATACCCTGAGCCGCATGCTGTTTCCTATTTGTCAGTTTGCGTTTGTCTTCCTGTATCATGCCAACATGAGCAGAATGTGTTCGGTTTTCTGATGCTGGTTTTGAAATTCAGCAGATAAAGGAGGAGAGAAAATAAGGCATAATGCTATCCACTGCAATGTCTGTCTTCCACTGTTAATATTTTAGGGGTGCTAATCTTGAATTTTCAACCTGTGTGTTCATACCAGATTGTTGGAGGAGGTAACTTTTTTTCTTTACTTAAAAGAATTTTCATCTGTCTCATTTCCTTATGAGACTGGTGATGAGGAAGGGGAAAAACAAATTAAATGCTGTATAATACAAGTATTATTATCTCTGCTTTTGGTATACATTTTTTGTTTATAATTGCTGTGTGATCCAGGCCCTGATTTTCTGACAGTGTAGAATAAAGATAAGAACATAAACTCAGGTAACTTGTAATTACGCTGATCAGAATGCTTGTAGGAATATCTCAGATTTTGTTTTTAAAACGTGTGAAAGAGGGGGCAGTGGGTTGTTGAAGTAGCACTGTTCACTATGAATTGACTTGTCATGCAGTTGGTATAGTACATCAATCCAAGACTTTTTGCCAAACTCCTTTGCAGATTATTTCTGTATAATCACTCTTTGAATATTATAATATTGTGCTTTCTATAATAATAATAAAAACCTAATCTTTTGTCTTTTTTTACTGTCGTTAAGCTAAAATATATGAAGTAATTCTTAATTATTGGGTGTTACTAGTCCTGTGTGCAGAGAAGACATGCACGAAGTGCATTTTTGGTGTCGGTTGTGCCCTCGTGTTCCCAGCTTTGAGGCAAGAGCCAGTGCTATTTTGACCACACCATCAGATTGAACTACTGCAACCCTGGCTA